TACCATTCTGGGGCAGTCTTTAATGTTGCTTCTCAAGGACCTGACACTAACAGCCTGCCTTTAATCCCTCATCACGGATGCTACTAGGAGTAAGGGTACTCAACTACCCCAGTAAAAGAATCCTAGAATGTAAACTGGAAAGAAACACCCCCCCTCCCCCAATACTCTAAGGCTTCCCAGACAAAACTTTAGCTAGGAGCCCAATTTCATTGCAAACCCTGGGCCCCTAAAACCCCTAAAACCTACAGACATGTCCTCCTCAGCATTAAGGGGTACCTCCTCTTTCCGAAGAGGGGGGACATCTGTACCCATTTGCTGACAACTGGGCAGACACCATCCCCTGCCCTGCTTCATGTCTTCCTACCTTCTGGTGTCAAAGCACAGATTAGTAGACCTCCATGTAGCCCCTGTGGCTCTTCAGGAGCAAGGGGTTTTTGCCCCAGATCCTGTAGCACTTATTATTCTGTGGGGTTTCTAGATGACCTTGTGCTGAGGGAACAGTCAGCACAAATTCTAACAAACAATGTGGTGCAGTGGGTTCAGACCTTAAAAAGGTTGGGTGGGATCCTGAAACTTCAGAAATCTGCACTGGAACTGACTCATTGCTTGGAGTATCTGATCTTACCCTAGACACAGCTCAAGCCATAGTTTTTCTTCCACTGATGGTAGCCTACTATTGGTAGCCTCTTTCGAGGCAGTCCCATTTCCCCAGGTTCACTTCAGACCCTAACAACTCAACATCCTGTCTTTATGGGATAAATCGGTTCAGTTACTAATTTGCCTGGCACCAAGAACCGGGGGAATTCCTTCCTTCCCATCTTTTGGAAGATCATCACAATGTAGGCCAGCCTCTCAGGCTGGGGAGGAGTCCTAGACATTTTGTTGGACTCTGGAGGAATCCTGTCTACAATCAACATTTAGAGCTTCAGGCAATTATATTTTCCTACATGTGTATAATGTATTGCTGGGATTTGTTGTCCTCTATACCCTTGGTTCTCAACTGGTGGGTCGTGACCCAAAAGTGGGTCGCCACCCCGTGTTCAGTGGGTCGCTGCATGCCTTCCACTTTTCTAGATCTTCAGCCTCCCCTAGCCTTCCCCTAGCGCAGCACTGTCAGTTCTCACACTGAGCAGCCATTCAAAATATGCTGCCCGGTGCCAAGTGTAAGCTTGAGGTGGGGTGGGCTGGGGGTATGGCCGCAAAGGAGCTCCATCCATACGTGCATTGCTTACAGCTCCCTCACGTGTCCTGTAGAGGTGCTTGGACTGGAGTGAGGTCACATTCTGGCTCCTGGCACCTCTAGGGCATGCAAGGAAGCTGTACAGGCAATGCACATATGGATGGAGCTGCATCACAGCACAGCAGCCCACACTTGAGGATCTACTCCAGTTCTCCTAAGGTTCTCCTAAGGTAGGGAGACGTGGTGGTTTAAAAAAAAAAGGTCTGGGTACCAGGTAAGCTATGGACCTAGAAATCAGGGTTTTATCCCACCCAAAACTCTACAAAGCCTCCAGGCTCCAGGACCCAGAACAGGAGATATTCATTTTTGTTGGACCTCAGTTATTTAGACCCCATCTTTATTCAGACACTGTCTTGATAACGATGGACTGAGCACCTTTAAAACGTTGACAATAAAATATACAGAGGGGAGTTTATCAAAACTGCAGCAGACAGAAACTGGAGCAGATGTGCATGGCAACCAATCAGCTTCTCTCTTCAGTTTGTTCAGTTAAGATTTGAAAATGAAAGAGAGAAGCTGAGTGGTTGCCATGCACATCTGCTCAAGTTTTTCTCAAGTTTTTGTCTGCTCCAGTGTTGCTAAATTCCCCTCAATGTATATACCTGTATCTATATTGCCGGGCCAAAAAGAAAGTCACCACCTGGATTTATCTAACCAAATAGGTAAGAGCCTTCCTTTGGATAATAAGTCTAGGTAACATTCAGAAATGTTATGTCCCCAAAAAATGAGGTCAGCTGCCTACCTAAATATACTGAATGACCAGGTTTTTCCATCAATAGATTTTTTTCTTCCCTGATGGCACGGGCATATTCCAAAATTACAATACCAGGATTCATTGGACTCAAATTGTGAAAGAATGGTTCAGGGAGCATGAGACATAATTTTCACACATGGATTGTCCAGACCTTAACTCCATTGAGAATCTTTGGGATGGTCTGAAGAAGACTTTACAAACTCTCCCATCATCACTACAAGATCTTGGTGAAAAATGAATGCAACTCTGGATGGAAATACATGTTGTGACATTGCATAAGCATATCGAAATGATGCCACGGCGAATGTGTGCTGTAATCAAAGTTAAAGGCGGTCCAACGAAATTAATTAGAGTTGTGACTATTTTCGGCCAGGCAATATGTATATTGTGTATATATTCTATATACAGACAAAGGGGGTGAACGAAAGGGTTTGTGGAGAGATGTACATCGACCCATGCGTAAAAATATCTCAACTGTATTGTACATAAAAATCGTTTTAGTTAATAAAAATCATAAATAACATTATTACATATATTAGTGGATATAATATCCCAATTTTAGCCAACATGATTCATCCTTCCTTTGTAGGCAGCCCAGAATACATAAATTAATTTAATAAACTAAATCTCTGATACATATCAGCCATGATTGATTCCAATTGATGCATTCATTGTGTAGTCTCCAAGGTATGTATATCAACATTCATCCCTACGCGTTTCGCCTTTTGGGCTTCTTCAGGGGATTAGATTAATCTATCAAATGGAAATTGTACATATGGTTGTTGTATATCATTAATTTGGGCATGCCCATCTTGATGTAATGCCTATGGTAAGTGAGGGGGACACAGTGCTGGGATTACCCCCATGTGCGGAAGACCACACATGGAGCAGGTATCTGGTACTCACCTATATAGAGTACCTGGAGGAGGGCCGACGTGAGGAGGACCGGGATGAGGTGGGTGGCTAGAACAATTGATGCATTCATTGTGTAGTCTCGCAATTTTTTGTTCATGCCTCGGGCGCAAAATAGGCTAGCTACAGCTCTGCGCGAGGGGATTAGATTAATCTATCAAATGGAAATTGTACATATGGTTATTGTACATCATTAATTTGGTCATGCCCATCTTGATGTAATGCCTATGGTAAGTGGGGGGGACACAGTGCTGGGATTACCCCCATGTGCGGAAGACCACACATGGAGCAGGTATCTGGTACTCACCTATATAGAGTACCTGGAGGAGGGCCGACGTGAGGAGGACCGGGATGAGGTGGGTGGCTAGATTTAGCCCTGTAGGAGCAACTTTTCACATATACAGGTGAAACTCGAATAATTAGAATATCGTGCAAAGTTCATTTATTTCACTAATGCAACTTAAAAAGTGAAACTAACATATGAGATAGACTTATTACATGCAAAGCAAGATAATTCAAGCCGTGATTTGTCATAATTGTGATGATTATGGCTTACAGCTCATGAAAACCCCAAGAACCCCAAATCCACAACCTCTAAAAAGTAGATTATTACATGCAATCATTAAAACAAGGATTGTACATAGAACAATATCGGACCTCTGAAAAGTACAAGCATGCATATGTACTCAGTACTTGGTTTGGGCACCTTTTGCAGCAACTACTGCAATTACTTTTGCACGATATTCTAATTATTCGAGTTTCACCTGTATATGCGAGTATATTTTTATATATTTATTTTCTGCACTCACATCACTTATCCTTATGAAAAGAAGGTATCATTGCACAAAGTCCATATAACACATATTTATTCATAGAACATGGCACACTCAAAAGGTTGTATACAGTGGTAGCCAACACTGGCTATACCACATATATATATATATATGTATACGTACATATATATATATTTTAACTTTTTGCAGTTTGCACAATGTCACTTACTGGGTTTATCAATTAAAAAGCAATATCATTGGTTGATTTTTGCTAATTGGTCCTTACAGGTCACTGCTCCGAATGGGGTTTGGTTTGGCTCTCTTACACTGCCTAGCGCATTCCTCCCTTTGAGACCCCGGTAGAGATGACGGACGGTATGTGATGGCAGGGCTAATTCTAGCCATCCACCTCATCCCGGTCCTCCTCACGTCGACCCACCTCCAGGTACTCTATATAGGTGAGTACCAGATACCTGCTCCATGTGTGGTCTTCTGCACATGGGTGTAATCCCAGCAGTGTGTCCCCCCCACTTACCATAGGCATTACATCAAGATGGGCATGCCCAAATTAATGATACACAATAACCATATGTACAATTTCCATTTGATAGATGAATCTAATCCCCTGAAGAAGCCCAAAAGGCGAAACGCGTAGGGATGAATGTTGATATTCATACCTTGGAGACTACACAATGAATGCATCAATTGGAATCAATCATGGCTGATATGTATCAGAGTTTTATTTTATTAAATTAATTTATGTATTCTGGGCTGCCTACAAAGGAAGGATGAATCATGTTGGCTAAAATTGGGATATTATATCCACTAATGTATGTAATAATGTTATTTATGATTTTTATCAACTAAAACGATTTTTATGTACAATACATTTGAGATATTTTTACGCATGGGTCGATGTACATCTCTCCACAAACCCTTTCGTTCACCCCCTTTGTCTGTATATATAATATTAGGGGGAGAGTTTGATATCAAGGAGCCAAGGTGGGGGCGACCCACTAATTTTGTTGTTATATATTCTATATACTTTATTTTCGAATGCATAGGTTAATAGACTTCTGCCTAAATGATATCTCCTCCTCCTTGCTGCTTAGAGGTGTATTTCTGCAAGCTATGTATAGGCTCCCCATGTAAGATTTACTTTTATTTTAACCCTATAATTCCCCCCAAGCAGCAGCCATCTTTCTTCACAGTCTATCACAACTTAAGTCCCTTCTCCAGGGTAATGTGATGAATAATGCATGTGTCTGAGGCCACGTGACCCAGGTTTAGTCTGAATGATTCAGGACCTGTGCGTGCACATCCTGCCTCCGCCCCCTCCCTGGCAGCGACATAGACAGGAGACATGGAGCTCAGCACTGCCTGCTCTGCCTGCTGATTTCCAGGACTCGGTGAGTGCATTGGGAATAATTCACTAGCCTTCCTCATACCGTCCTCTGCCTCCCCCTTCTACTTATATCTGTGCTTTGTCCACTGATCTGCAGCTTTGTCATCTTCATACCATCTGCCTGATCCCTTTCAGTGATGCCTGCACTGTATGCAGCGGTGTAGAACAGGAGATATGTGTTGCCCATGGTCTCCTTTTAATAACAGGCTATAGAAGGGCGTTTGCTTATGTAGCTTCCACTTAAATGCCAGTGTGTCCCAGAGGAAGGGGACTTGTGTGGTCCCAAAGCGTACCCCAGCCCCCTCCACATTCTGGCTGAACACATAAGATGAAAGTGTAATGGAGCTGGGGTCATCCGGTCACCCACAGTCACCTACACTATGGGTATCGCTTTCCTAGTGCTTGCTTAAACAAATGCATCTGCATGGATGAGATAGGGATCTTGTAGAGAGCTGCGAATATAAGATCCTGGATCTCCAACAAGAGAGATGTCTGTTACATGCTTCATAAAAATCCTTTAACCAAGCTGCTAATGTTTAATGCAGGGGCCCCTGTAACTGCCCTATAGTCTATCAGAGGATACATGGGGGGTGACTACAATACATAGAAGCTTCTCTCCATGATGTCAGGATTTGTTGCATTCATATACAAGTTTTATCATACTGCAAGCCCTCTGCTACAGTCCTGCTTGCAGCAGTGACTTGTCTTTTCATTTTTTTTTTGATCTACTAAAGCTTGTGTGATTAGCTTGTGCTTTGAACTATATGAAGAGGCTGATTTAAAAGTTCTATGAAGCCAACGTAGGCTGTGGTGTCGTGCAGTAGTACAGCAGTGATCGTTATGTTGGGTGTAACAGGTGTCATTTGAAGTCAGGCATTCATGATGCCCATGTGTATCAGATCATGCACATGGGATTTGGTGCCTGCATGGTTAATTGCACGGTTTATTTACTGGCAGTCGGAGCCCCACCAGGAGAAAATGTTGCTTTCCAGAAAGATGAGTGTCATTGTTTAGTGTGAAGTGCTTTCACTTGAAGCTCCGAGGTGGTTATTAGGTACATGGCATGATGTTTTGTGACAGGAGGGTTCATTGGATCTGTCATCATAGCGAGTTCCAGTTGCAGCTCCGCTATACATAGTCTATGGGCGTTTTCTGGAGCTGTCCGAGGTGCTGAATCTGCTGCGCTTGCCAAGGCTAGACACACACCTCGTACTGCTCTGGATTATATATACTGTATATATATATACTGTATACTGTATATGTTACGTCTCACTCAATCCTTCCCCAGCTCTCTACTACTCTTCATATCTTTCTATATCATTCATCTGTCTTTTTATGTTGCCTGATAAGCCGACAAGAGATTATTGTGATTTCATCTCCAAAAACAAAACGGTTTCCTGTGTTTTCAGTTAATCTGCTGTAGTCTTTTATCGCTGCCATTGATTATCGTTTCTATGAAAATGCTTAGCAAAGACTGGTCTGAGCTAACAGGAGGAACATAGGACCACACAGTGTATATGAAGGGAACCTTTGCCCTGGCACTGCTGAACCCTCCTCTTGGGCATATACTGGTATGTCTGGCTCTCTAGTGCAGCATTTCCCAACCGTTGTTCAGTCTTGGCACCCTTTAAAAGTATGCACCCCAGCCTAAAATGGATGTTAAACAGGGGACTGCATACAAAAACACACACAAAAAAAGTTGAGTTTGTCTCTTCACATCAAAGTCCCCCATTCCAATCAGGAGCCCGCTTCATGTCATCATTTTCCTTTTACATCAGAATTCACCCTTCCACATCAGAGTCCTCTTTTACACCACAAGCCCCTCCTTCACATAAGGAGCGCTTTTCACATCAGAAGCCCTCCTACACATTAGAGTCCCCCCTTTATATCAGAGCCCCCCTTTCACACGAGAGCCACCCATTTTCATCACAGTTCCACCTACACATCAGGAGCCAAACTTTCAAGACACCACTGAGGAAGCCAGCCACAGCACCCTGGTTGAAAAAGGATGCTCTAGCTGACACAATGGCCTAATTCAGCATATTTCAACCTTTGTTTAGTCACTGCACCTTTTACAAGTATGCAAAATCTCAAAAAATGTAAATGTAAAAAAATGATGTGTGTTTCCCCCTCTTTCCAAAAATCAATACCAACACCTTATGCAAGACTGTGGTCTGGTATGGATTTTAAAAAATAAAAAAAAGACAAAATGGAATTTCTCTCTTCACATGAGAGCCCCCCTCTTTTCACATCAGAAGCCCTTCACATCAGAGGCCCCCTCTCATCAGAAGCCCCCCTATAAAGCAGAACCCCCTTTCACATCACAGCCCAAAATTTGACGGCAGCTCAGACAAAGCCAGAAGGCACCCCAAAATACCTGACTGGTCTAAAAGGTTAGTTCACCTTTGTAAAACAAAATAGCCTATGCAGTCAAGAAGCCCCAGTAGGTAACAATAAACTAAGCAGCTTTTAGCATCATTTATAATTTATCTGCCATACCTGTAGGCCATTTGAGCTCCCACCAAAACCTGCCCGAAAAACATCCAAGTGCCCAGATGCTGTGACAGAGCACGGGGCTTTGAACAAAGACAGTGCTCACTTCTGTGACACTGGCTTGTCCTAGCAACAGGACATTACTGAACTATGCAGAATATTGGGGGGTTTTCCAGCAGGCTTCAGTGGGGGCTTAATTGGCCTACGAGTATGGAAGATGGGAGTGGTCACTCAAAGGTGGCTCCATGGGTCCCTGTAAAGGGATGGAGCCATCTGAAGACAGGAACCTGAGATGGGGGGAAGTTTCACAAGAGGATTTGAAATCAGCCACAGCATTAAAAGCTATTTATTATTATTAAAAGCTATTAAATGAAAAGCTATTTTTAATTATTTTTGATAGAATGTAAAAAAAAATATTTGAGTTAAAATATTGCCCCAGTATATATTTCAGATATTTTTCTGGTATAGAAGAAATATTGTCTTTAGTGTATTGTAATTGATACTTTCTCTAAAGAAAGGTAGGATTGCTAGATTTTCCTATTTAAAAGACTCACACTTAAACTTAAGAATTTAGACATGATAGGAAACGTATCTAATTGCAGTGTCTAAACAAGAGCAAGGGTATCTCAGAACAAAAGTGAACGTTCACCTAGTATGGCTACCAGACATTCCTGCATGAGAATTGACCTTCCTTATGCTAATAACCACAATGTAATATTCCTGCTTCTGAATAATAGGGACATGAAATGTATTTGCCAAATATAGATCTGCCCCAGAGCACAACATGTATACCAGGAAAAATTAATATATATGCAACTATGTCTTGATGTGCAACCATTTGTGCAACAAATACATATATCTACATGGCACAGTATCAAGAATTAACATTTCTGCCTTGCAACACTAATGCCCTTTAACTGATTCTTCCTGAGAGTGTTATGGGAATGATGAAATGTGCATCCAGTGTTTATATAAAGGATTCTTCTGGGTATTCCAGTGTTCTGAAGCTAGTAGCTTAATTGGCTCCTGACTAAAATAGCCGCAAAGTTCCTGTGGGGCAGACTCAGAGTAGAATTTTCTAATTTGGTGGTAAGTGTAATATTTTTGGTACACTTAACCATTAGAAAAATATTATTAATAATATGTGCTTTAAAAAACGTGATGTCACATATTGTATCTGATGTCTGTGTAATTTGTAAGCAAAAGTGTAACATGCAATGATATATCAGTAAAAATGAGAATTAGACTATGTACTTGTTCATGAGAGCCAAAAGGGCCAGTGGAAGTGGGTTATGCTTGTACACAGAGACTCCTCTTGATGTGCACTAAAGAAAAGGTGTTAATTCAAAACCTGTGGATTCTTGATACTGAAAAGAAAATTCTCTTCTTTTGAAAGTGACTTTTGTTATTCTGAGTTCTTCTAACACTGTAGAAATTAAGAAGCCATATGCCATTCAATGTTGAACAGGCAATAGCTGCTTTACAAATAGTCAGTTTTTTAAATAGGTGCCCGCTATGGGGTGAACTTCCTCACCCTTTTCAATCACCCCTATGGCTATGAACATATGTGTTTGTGATTTTGGTTTAAATGATAAAAAATATTATTAATCACTATTTATGAGTCGATGAATTAACTGTACTGCCTATTATACTGCTCTCTGCACTCTGCTCACACATATACTACCTATTTCTTTATCATTGCTTGCTATATCCCTGCTTGTTTTGGGACAGTCATACATTTGCTTGCCCTATGTTATATGAAAAAGCTAAGTGCCACCTTTAGTTTCACAAGGGGGAATCGGCCTCCAGCCCCAGCACACCTATCGGTCTTTCCTCTATAATCTGCCTCCAGCACATGCTCGCTCCACTTCCCAGTATTCCTGACAGCAGCGAGATGGCCCCTTCACTACACAGGGCTTTTCTACCCATATTCTAGATTGAAGCATACATAAAAAATGAGAGGGCCACAAGTCTAGATCAAGTCCGGTAAAGGTTTATTTTTCACAAGCAAGAGGAAAAAAGGTATAGCCAACGCATTATGGGGGCTCAGAAATTCCCCTTCATCAGGGTTCAAGCTGGCGTTTACAAATGATTGGTGATAATACTGCACATTTAATGCGTGCAGAACATGAAGATTACAGTAATAATAGTGAGGGATGCCTGTCAGATAGCATGTATTACTGTAATCTTCATGGCAATCCCTCTTGACCCCTTGCTAGTAAAAAATTAATTTTCCTGGACTTGATCTAGATTTGTGCTGCTCTTATCCTTTTATGTACTCTTCAGACTGCTCTTTAGATCACTGGGAACACCTTAGCTGAAAGACAGCAACCTCAAGATTTGTAGCTGGATTGTATATATATAATATATATATATACATACATACATACAGTATATATACATACATACATACATACATGCATCCTTCCAAATCACTAGATTTAGGAGTGATTGATGGTTAGTTTGTATGAGCTATTGCTTTTTGCCCTCTATTGAATAATCCAAAGTGCT